CCTTTCTCCCCACTCCCCACTTTGGAGTCTCCAGAGTCTTTTTTCCCCATTGTTATGTCCATGTGTACTTTTTGTTCAGCTCCCACTTATAAATGAGAACATGTGGTATTTGATTTTCTGTATCTGTGTTAGTTCGCTTAGGATAATCGCCTCCAGCTCCACTCATGTTGCTGCAAAGGACATGATCTCATTCTTTTTTACAGCTTTGTGGTATTCTGGGGTGTATACGTGCCACATTTTCTTTATCCAGTCAACTGTTGGTGGGCACGTAGGTTGGTTCCATGCCTTTGCTGTTGTGAATGGTGCTGTGGTAAACATATGAATGCAGGTATCATTCTGATGCAATGATTTCCTTTCCTTTGGGTAGATGACTGAATGATTTATTGAATTTCTGGGTCGAATGGTAGTTCTCTTTTTAGTTCTCTGAGAAATCACCATACTGTTTTCCATAGAGATTGAACTAATTTACCTTCCCACCAACAGTGTACGAGCGTTCCCTTTTCTCCACGCCCTCGCCAACATTGTTTGGACTGTTTTCTGTCTCAACACTGCATATGTTTAGGAGATTCCATTTGGTCCCTGACTCAGATGGTGACTTGGGGACACACAGGAAATGGGAGCAATAGGGCAGCATTAGCTGGCTTCATAGACCACTAAAAGTCTTTGTTATGCCTTTGAATTTATTTAAAGTCAAGTTGGGAGTTGGCACATTTGGCATGTAAAAACATGCTGTGTCCCAGGAAACCACAACATCCAGCAGGCAAAGTTGTTGCCATGGTTTTGGTGTCACCCACTATGGAGCTACATCTACAACCACAAATCCCTGTGTTTATTTGCCAAGATGCCATTTCTTATATCATATATATATATATATATATATATATATTTCTTATATAGATATAGATCAGTTGGGCACAGTGGCTCACACCTGTAATCTCAACACTTTGGGAGGCCCAAGGCAGACAGATCATTTGAGGTCAGGAGTTTGAGACCAGCCTGGTCAACATGGTGAAACTCTATCTTTACCAAAAATACACAAAAAATTAGAGACAGGTGTATTGGCAGGTGCCTGTAATCCCAGCTACACGGCAGGCTGAACCAGGAGAATCACTTGAACCTGGAAGGCGGAGGCAGCAGTGAGCCGAGATCATGCCACTGCACTCCAGCCTGGGTGACAGAGCGAGACTCCATCTCTAAATAAATAAATAAATAAATATTAAAAATCAACAAAGGAAACAGACTGAGACCAAGAGCTCCCTCTGGCACTAAATGCTACAGGTACAGTAGTAAAAAGTCTTACCAGCCACAGGTGATGTGACTTTCCGAGGCAAGTGGATAATTTTTACTTGATGGTGAATCGTTAAAAGTGGACCAGATGATTAAACTTAATGGAACAGCCACATTAAACTGAAATTAGTAAAAACATGCCTCAGGCAGCCTACAACCTTTTATTTGCTGTTGTTTAACTTCTGTCTTTTACAGTAGCCATGATGGATGACATCACAAAAGAAAAAATCCAATTAAAATCTAAGTGCTCAATAAAGCCCTAATGTCTGGTTTTCACCACCACTTTCACAGGCGCTGATGTCTTGTGTCTCCTTTTTTTTCCCAAGTAAAGAACTGGCCCCAGGGGAGTTCAATGGCAGAGGAGGAGAGTGGGAAGAAAAAGCAGAGGCTTCGGGAGGTTTCCGCTCCTTGTTCTCTGACAGACCCAGAAAACGCACTTTGGAGGGAGGAAGCGGGAGGAGGTTAAATTGCTTTTTTACCAGACAATACAAAGAGAAGAGATGCGTTTTCCCACTAGTTTTCAAATATTGATAAATCAGAACTGTGATCTGCAAAGCAATCTTAGCCCATGCTCCTCTTTGACGTTTCCTCTGCCCTTTTACACCGTCTCGGGTGTTTGTTCTGTAAGTCATCGAAATGGTCTCTCCTGACAGCTAAAAATAAGTTTCTGATTACTTTTACCTGAATAAATCTTGTGCGCAGATGTGGAATTCACCTATTAAGTGTGCAGCAATTACATATTGAAACTGATGAAAGAACTGGTGGAGGAACGTGTGTAATCTAGTGGAATACAGCATACAAGAAATCACATGTAAAGACACCAATTGCCCCCCCCACCCCGCCCCTGGCTAAAGAATACTGGCTTTTGATCACAGATTTTAACTTAGAGATACTATCTGTTTGTAAAATTGCATTTTCAAAGTCTTCTAAACAAATTTCTCAAAGTCAAAATAGGAGCAAAAACATGCTGATTATGAACTAAGAGTTAATAACGGTAGCACTCTCTTAAATTTGGGAGGCACTTTGTAATTTATAAGACACATACCATGCTTTTATTGCATGTTTACATGGTGGTTAATGTACTATTTGCATGTGGTCTTCAATTACATCTTCGCAACAGCCTCGCTGTGTAGCTCTTATTATCCTCATTTTGCAGATAAGGATTCTGGCTGAGGGAGGTTAATTGACTCTGCTGTGGTCTTACACTTGCTGAGTGAAAAGGAATGAACATGGCTCACGCCTAGGACCGTGCCCCCTGCACTGTGCCAGGCTGCTGACCACAGCTGCCCTAGAGCAAGGATCCGCCAGGCAGTGACATAGGTTTCCTTACTCATGGGTTAATGAAATTGCTTTTTAAGAGCCTCTTCAGTCATTCGAATTTGACAATGGAGAGTTAAACTTTCCCCAGTGGCTCCTTCTGTGGCATCATGGTTTCATCGTTTTCTTAGCATATCCCATTACTCAAATCATGGGATGCTCTTGTTTTACATTTCTGATTGCATTTATCTCACTTCTAAGCAATTTCCTCCCCATTCGAATTTATCTTCCATTATTTCTGCCAAATTGCTTTCAAGGCTACTAATTATATGAATAATATTCCCTTCCCCAAATGCCACGATTAACTCGCTTTAGCTGTGTTACATTAGACACAGTTTCTCTACCTCTAAAAAGAAGAAAGTTGCACCACACAGTCTTTAAAGCCTCTTCCTGTGCTCAAGTGTTAATCTTCAGACTCTCTCACGTGAGCTGTGTGATTCTGGAAACAGCACACACCGGATTCTCAGTTTTCTTGACTCTACAATGATGGATTTTAAATTAGTTCATGTTTCCCAAAGTATCTTTTTTGGAAAACTGCTATGGGGGATATCAGTATAAGTTACATCCAAAAAGGATTATTTAAACAAGAAAGTTAGGGAAAACTAGATTACACCAAATCAAATATAGTTTCAAACTGCAGACACTCAGAGCCTTTGACATGTTAACCATGACTCCAAGAAAGGGGACGTATATAAAGTCTTTCTTTCCCTCAGCACTTCCTGTAAATGATATTCAGTGGAATACTTTTAGACTAGGTTAGGTTATTTTTAAAGTATCTTTTTGCCCTAAGAGTCTATTTTCATGTGTGTAATGCTTCTCTGAGCACTTTGTGCAGTATATTAATCAACAGGAGGAAGGCTTGGCATCGCTGTTGCCGTTTGTAGCACGGCCCGTACTCTGTTTAGACAGAATTGAAACAAGGTAGAGAGTAGCAGCCTTCCCACTAAGACTGACTTCTCTTTATACCATGGATGCTTACAATTCTGGGGGTTTATAAATAGTCCTCCCTAATAAAAAAGACTTTGAAAATTTGCAAATAGGGTTCGATTACCTGAAGACCTACAGACCTAATTTTATATATATATACATATATATATGTATATATATACACACACACATATCCTATCCTATGTGTATATATAATTATATATATATAGAAAATTATATATATATAGGACAGGATATATAATATATATAGAAAATTATATATATATATATTATTTTATATCCTGTCCCAATATATATAGATAATGTGTATATATAATTTTCTATATGTATACATAGGATAGGATATATATATATATGTATCCTAATTATAAATGTGTGTATATATATATCCTATAGACCTATAGTTAGGTCTAAGTACCATCTAAAGGTATCATCTAACCTTTTACTCGGGGGTGAGAAAAGGGAAGTTAGGAAACATTAGAAACTCAACACTGTAGATATAATCTTTGGGGCAGGAAACATGGACTACTTATCCAAGTTAGGATTCTCATCTTCTATTTCCATAGTATCCTCAGAATTCACTTAATTTCACCCTTTACCCAGACCCATATCACTGACAGTTAGTCATCAGAGTCTCTGCTTGATTACTTTTAGGAGCAGGGAAGTCACTACCTCATAAGACAGACTGTTTCAATTTTAGGTTGACTCTAATTATTAGAAGGTCCTTTCCTATCTTATACTATAATCTGAATGTGAAATGTTATTGTTCCAAGTGACTTGTAAATTATCTAGTCAGGTGATTTATAAGGTATTGCCCATGGCAGCCCTTAGGATATTTCTCAAATGCTTCGAGATGAATTTCATAAGTAAATAAACATCGCATCTTCCCAGAAAAAAATGATTATAATCTCCAAGACTCAAGGGGGTTGCCAAGCTTCCCTAAATTCACCAAGATAACAAATGTAAGGTAGAAACAGTATATACCCAAGTCTCTCTGATTCAAAAATCAAAGTCCTTTTCTCAATAGGATATTGCTTCTCTAATATGTTTGTGTACATACAAGTGAGGGCGAGAGTGTATTAGTGGAATGTGAAAGCTGTAGTGAAAATAGGAAAAGAGTGAAAAGAGTTTCATTCCAGCCAGCCTAATATGTCCTTGGCTACCTCACTATTACTCTTGACTTTTGTTTTCCCCTCTTCAAAATAAAGATTACTAAATTTTCTCCCAAACTCTGATCCAGTTCTGGAAAATGCTCTGGTTATAAGGACACATGTTCATTAATGAAGGAATTTACCACTGAGAGGTTATGTAAATTGTAAAAAGAAAAAAACCTGCAAGCCTTAGAAATAATTGAATAAAAGTTAACATAGCATGCACCAAAAAGACAAAAACAGTTTAGGACCACATGCTTGACTTTTACTTTCTTTAATTTTTTTTTTCTACACTAGTTACATTCAGACCAGGATAGAGGAGATGGATCACTTAAATATATCCTTTCAGGAGATGGAGCAGGAGATCTCTTCATTATTAATGAAAACACAGGCGACATACAGGCCACCAAGAGGCTGGACAGGGAAGAAAAGCCCGTTTACATCCTTCGAGCTCAAGCTATAAACAGAAGGACAGGGAGACCCGTGGAGCCCGAGTCTGAATTCATCATCAAGATCCATGACATCAACGACAATGAGCCGATATTCACCAAGGACGTTTACACAGCCACCGTCCCCGAAATGTCTGATGTCGGTGAGTGAGATGTGACTTCAGCCAAAAACCGGCTCTCCCCTAGTGCATCTGCTGAGTAAGGAATCCCATGAGCTCCAAGTACTGAGCTGAATGAATTCAGATGCTCACTTCTTCACTCCATGTATGTCCTAATACATGGGTGGGGAAAAGGGCGTTTTTCCTTTTCCCTGTTTCCTAATATTACTGTAAGTGCATGTGTTTTCTAGTATTACTATAGTCTCATTTTATTTTTTTTCTTTTTTTAAATTATACTTTTTCTGGGGTACATGTGCAGATGGTGTAGGATTCTTACATAGGTATATGCATGCCATGTGGTTTGCTGCATCCATCCCATCATCAAAAAATTAGGTATTTCTCCTAATGTTATCCCGCCCCAATCCCCCACCCCCTGTTAATTCTCCCCTATCTCCCCCACCCCCCAACAGGCCCCGGTGTGTGATGTTCCCCTTCCTGCGTCCATGTGTTCTCATCGTTCAACACCCGCCTATGAGTGAGAACATGCAGTGTTTGGTTTTCTGTTCTTGTATGCGTTTGCTGAGAATGATGATTTCCAGCTTCATCCATATCCCTGCAAAGGACATGAACTCATCCGTTTTATGGCTGCATAGTATTCCATGGAGTATATGTGCCACATTTTCTTTATCCAGTCTATCATTGATGGGCATTGGGTTGGTTCCTTTGCTGTTGTAAGCGCTGCAGCAATAATCATACATGTGCATGTGTCTTTATAGTAGAATGACTTATAATCCTTTGGATATATACCCAGTAATAGGATTGCTGGATCAAATGGTATTTCTATTTCTTATTTTTAAAACCACATCTCCTCTAAAGAGATTCTGAAAAGTGGCAGGGTGGGAGCGGGAGGTCGGAAGAGAGACCATATCCTTTCTCTCCCATCCTGAACGCCCATTCTCTTTCTTGGGCTGAAAGACAGCAACCTTCTCCACTTCTCTTAGCCCACGTTGGTGTTAGGGTCCAAGTAACAACCTCCCAGATAGAAAATAAAAGCTTAAATTTACAATCCAGTCTCAAAAGTAGTGATGGTTGCTTTAAGTAACTAATAACTGTATATCTGCAAAAGAGATTCAAAGAACATTTTTTAATCCATAAGCAATAGGAAGGTTATGTCTAGGGAGAGGACCCTTTATTACCTGGTAGAAATGAAGAGACTTTCATGACATACATAGAGTGAATTAATACTTTATACACAATTCCACTATTTATTTTAAATAAGTAGTAGATTTAATTTGTTTAAATTAGGAGAAGTAAGCAGGATTTAAATTAAGAAAAAGAATTCTACTGACATCACTCTTAGCCCCATTGAAGTACTTCATGGGAGACAGTGACAAACTGTAAACTACTTATATAAAGAATTATTTTTATTTTCACTCTGTCAAATTCAAAAGAGCTGAAATTACATAACTTTATTATGATTCTGTCAGTTAGATATCAGAGACATGGTAGTTCACAGATCCAAGACATAGAAAATAACCAATCCATGGAAATCATTGTAAAACATCTACATTTTTCTTATGAAGAAATTGCTTATCTCATTATGTAAAACCACTTCGTTTTGTTACAAAAATTGCAAGCCTCAGAAAGCAAAGAGAGAGATGATTGGATTTTGTTCTTCTTCTTCTTCACTGGTTACAGCAGCAATGGCATGGCATTCTTTAAAATTTGTTAGGAAAAAAATTTCTCCTTTCCATGGTAAAAGGCAGAAGAATTCATGAAGAATAGTCTCTTCATCAGAGCCATTCAGGGCAACTGTAACCAGATATGCAGGTATTGCACTGCGCAATTCTAAGGAGTGCCATTCACTTTTGAAGCCATTATAGAATTAAATTTATATTACAAACATTTAGGGGTAGGTGACGGTAATACGTCTTGAGAGTCAAAAAAGCCTTTTTTCAATTTGCACAGTCACAGTTAAGCTGATATTCATCATCCTTAACTGATATGTCATTATTGTGATTATAGAAAGGCATCCTCAAGAAATGACATAAAGGTAGTGGGACAACAGCGTGGGAGCAAAAATGGACTTCGGTATCAAACAGAACTGAATTTGAAATTCTCTCTACTAGAGCCAGCAGTGTAGCCTTGGGCAAATTATTTGATTTCTCTGATCCTCCAGTTCTGTATCTTGAAAAAATAAATAATAAATGTCAACTCCTAAAGGCTATCATGAGGATTAGAAGAGAAAACAGGTGCAGAGCCCCTAGTACAAAATCTAGGAATGAATAGATGTTTAAAATGTCCAGATATCATATTCTAAAAGCCATCAAATTTTGTGTTAATGTTAAATAAGAACTTGAGCGTTTGTTGACTTCACTCTCGCTCTAAAAATCGTAAGATGTTCTCATTCTCCCCACCCCCCTTGACAAATTGCAAGGGTAGGTACTCTGTTTTGTGCATTAGCAATATACATTCAGGGTAGCCAACCCTAACATGTTACAATATATTTGTTCAATAAGGGAAATTGGCTAGCTCTTACAAAAGCAATGTAGAATTCCTAATATTCCCTAGATGTAACTTCCCTTCCCCTTTCATGGAAAGGGAAACTCCAGCAGTATGCTTACTGGTTATCTGACACAAATAACAAAAAAACAGCCATTAAGTGATCTTAATCAGAGACACTTATCCTTTTGGGAAGTCACAGAACCCTTTGAAAATCATGTAAAATCTATGGACTGTCTCTTCAGTGAAATAGGCATGTAGGCATACGCATGAAAATTTACGTGGAATTGCAGGGGGTTAGGAATACTTTGAAGATTGTTAGGCGACTGTGGTCTCTAAAATAAGAATACTGATCTGAAACGTAATAGCCTTCTTTGTATATACAATTTAGTTATAATAACCTTTTGGAATTACAGATTCCGGATGTTTGTGCTCTGCTGTTTCAATTCATTGATTCTTTATGTAATCCATAACTACAGCCTTTAAGGTTCAAGGTCTTTCAACAGTTTAGAATTGTCATATAGATTTATCATTTAGGATGCTTTTATTGGTAAATAACAGGAAACCCAACCCACACTAGTTTAAACAACAACAAATAAGTATATATTGGTCACGTCACTAAGTCCAAAAGTAAAACGGGCTTTGGACAGGATTTGATCTGAGTTCTAGCTGTTTTTCTGTAATTTTCTATTCTGTTCAACTTTGTCCTCGGGCTGGCATTTCTAAGATCACAAAATAGCTGCCTCAAACGTATATCAGCACTTTAGAGTCCAAGAAAAAGAGTATCTATGACAGAATTTCCAGCAAAACCATGAGTGGCCCCTGATTGGACAACACCTAAACTAATTCCTGTGGACAAAGGAAGAAAGATGCTGATTGGACAACACCTAAACTAATTCCTGTGGACAAAGGAAGAAAGATGCTGATGGACTGTCCTGGATAACTTGGAAGAATCACTAAAGCAAGAGTCCAGTCAAATCCTGCCATTGGATAAGGGCTGGAATCAGTTCCACCTGAAGTCATGATCATTCCCATGCTTCTCTATAACCTAATCCTTAAAATATTTATAAATGTTGATTCTATTTCTTTAAAGAATCCAGTTCTTTTTCTCCTAGCATCCTATCAAAGTTCTCCACTCCTCAGCATGATATTTCCATACAAAATTCAGATTGTGTGGTTTTTAAAGTGTGTGTCAAAGATTGATATGAACTCTTGATGTGTTTTCACTTTATGTTTCTGTCATTACAGGTACATTTGTTGTCCAAGTCACCGCAACGGATGCAGATGATCCAACATATGGGAACAGTGCTAAAGTTGTCTACAGTATTCTACAGGGACAGCCCTATTTTTCAGTTGAATCAGAAACAGGTTAGACTTTTTGATCTTTCTTTTTACAATCCGTAATTTTAATTGGCATGCTCAGCTGAGCTAGCATATTTTTTAATAAAAATAATCAGTGTGATTGTATTTTCTTACATTCATCTACTAAATGCTAATGATACATTTATAAACATCTGAATCATTTTAATCAAAAAATCTGACAATGAATCTTTCACCTACCCTCTATATGGAGTAGATTGAGAAAAATTATGCATTGCCCAAAAAAACTTTAACAATAAAATTACATGAACATAGGCTGGAGCGTTATAATTAGACATTATAATCCTAATTCACAATGACCTAATATTTTAAGATATCCTAAAACAAGCCTCTCTTGAATTGGTTTTTATGGAGAAAATAGCAGCTACTATTTGAAATGTCTAGCATGTGTCAGGCAATTACTTCTTGCTTTACAGAGTATATAATTTAGTTCAATTTTTAAAACACTTTAAAAATACAAAAAAATCAAAAATAAAAAAAATGTTTTAAACAAAAACAAAAAAATTATGCATTGCCTTAGTTTTCTTCCAGTTTGGGGCAAAGCTAAAAGGTCAACCCCCTTTTTGATAGCTATTGGCCTGTTTACAGATATTCCAAATCTTTTTTTTCTAAATATTTAGTAGGATTGTGTCTCTGTATTCTGCTCTGAAACTAGATGTAGCCATGCGATTTATGATGATGATACAAGTCACTTCTTAGTAAAATTTTCAATCCACCACATTCCTGTCCCTTGCCACAGTGATCACGAAAACCAGTGTTGTGATGTAGTCTACAGCCTGAATGTCTGAGTGGCATGGTGAACAGAGCTACCTCCTTACCTGTCTGGAGCACGAGCAAAAAATAAACTTTACTGTGTGAAGCCACTAAGATTTTGCATTGTTTGTTGTCACATCATTGTCTAGCCCTCTAACTGATGCAGTCCTAATCAAAGTGAAATGCCATCTGGAATGCTTTTGTCAACATCTCATTTTTCTGTTTTCTGTACTTTCTCCACAAAGTAGCATCCTATCTTATAATGATTTGTTTTTAGCAAATATCATTTTACTGTCTAGTAAATTCTACACTTTTTTATCATAATGAGTCAATTTCCTTTTATACCTTTTTTAAAACATCCATTATTCTCAGTAGAAAGCAAAACCTCTCTAGGTTCCCACATCCACTTGGAAATCTCCGTGTTAAGTGGTGCGATGAACTTGGAGAGAATCCCAAGGAGAAAGAAAATGTTGAGTTGAAAAAACAATGAGGATGAAAAATTAGAATTATTCAACTTAAAGGACAAAAGGCTAAGGTGATCTCCTGTATTTAAATAGAGAAGTACTATTATTTGGAGAACAGAAAGCAGCTGTACTTTCACTGAAGCCAGGACTATGGAAATAAAATTGACCTGTTGTCTGAGGTATTCTTGTTAAAAATTTTAAAAAGCTATTTTGCTTCATTAGTTGTTAAGCACTAAAATGTGCTTCTCCAGAAGGTTATAAAGCTTTCTCCAGTGAAATTTGAAAGCAAGTTAATTTAAGCATAAACCTTACATAGAAACTGGGCAAACGTTTAGAAGTTCTTTCACTATTTTATAACTACCTAACAAAATTAACCTAACTTAAAAATTTTGATTGCCATTGGGGTCAGTTGAACTAAAGTTCATGTCGGCTTTAGGAATTCTAAAAGGCTGAAAGACTGTGAAACTTAATTCCAAAATTCTCTAGGATCATACAAGATGATCATTATGAGAGAACTGATGTTATATTTTCCAAAGACCGTAGTTTTATAATTTAGAAGATCCTCAGAGCATTCATTATGGTAGGTGTATTTGAGGGATAATTAGCCAATCCATAATGGGAAACTCAAGAGTCAATTCAAGTATGTGGCTTTCCTAAGAATTTCCTCATGATTCACCTAAATGTCTTTTATCAAGCAGCTGTTGTAGTACACCTTTATACCACAAGCCATTTTAGATTTTGCTGTGTCATCTTATAACACTTAATATTTATACATCCATAATGTAATTGTAATATTGAGTGTCTTATAACCCTTAATAGTCTACACTATTGCAGCATCTGACTTGTACTTATTTTTATTCTCCTCGTATTACAGGCTTTTTTAAATGTATCTATCTCCCCTGTGTGTGGTTGTAATATCCTTGAGGATAAAGACTGCATATAATTATTTTTATATCACCATGACATCTGCACAATGTTTTGCATATCGTGGGTGACAGTTTATGATTGTTTGCATAAATAAATGATTCCATAAAGTATTCTTAATGCATCCTTTTGACTCTTAAATTTCACATCCACAGGTATCATCAAGACAGCTTTGCTCAACATGGATCGAGAAAACAGGGAGCAGTATCAAGTGGTGATTCAAGCCAAGGATATGGGCGGCCAGATGGGAGGCCTATCTGGGACCACTACAGTCAATATCACGCTGACTGATGTCAACGACAACCCTCCCCGATTCCCGCAGAGTAGGCACATTTGATTGAATGAGTTTCTTTAATGCGGTTTTATAAAACTTGAACTTTAAGAATCTTTATTTTCCATTGTCATCAGTATTGTCACAGTTAGTGGACTTAAGAAGAACTGGCACTTTTATTAAAAAACGAGTTGCCAACATGGCATGCACTCCGGAAATGTGAACATTTACATTCCTCTATTGGTAATTAGCTGAGTGATTTCTGCTGTTGTTTTAAAGGCAACATCATTGTTTCATTTTTCCTTATTAAGAAAACTACCACAGACATAAATCTACTCATGCAGAACATATGTATACAAGCATGCTGCAATTTGTTAGGAAAAATTTGACTTTATGTTCTGTGAATTTAATCAGGCATGTAATCTCTTTTAAATCCTCACAAAGCTCTGTAAGGGGAGGATTTATCATTTTACTGTTTCTAAAAATATAACTGTGGAAGTAACTAGGTACTTAATCTATTTGTAATAATAAATCGTTTTCTACATTATGGTTAGTTGAGATACCGAAAGTCGTCTCCAAAATCGTTAACTCTCATGATTAGATAAGAAGGAAGAAGAAAAAAAAAACAACATCCATGAATACCAGTGTGGTTTCAGGAGTACGCTAAAAACTCTCACACAGAGCTACCCAACAGGGAGCTGGTTTTAACGTAGCTTTTCTTCCAGGAACAAAATCCTTTTGGGACCATGATCTCCTACAAAAGCTAGCTCAATTATTAAATAGAAAACCCACTCGTTCTATCATGGCATTTTTAAAAAACTAATCAGCTAATATGGGCTTCCTTTAGAATAGAAATATACATGGATCAACAGGAAGTAGTTTTATTTTCTTTATTTTTTCAAGTTTTTCATCAGTTAGCTAAATGCAAAAAGATCAGAGTTAATTAAGGAATATCTGATATAACAAATAGAAGAAAGGTTCTGTGAGGCCTGGAATTTTCCTTACAGAGGCCTGAAATGAAAACTATCAGGCCCTATGTAACAAACCTGCACAATCTGCACATGTACCCCAGAACTTAAAGCATCATAAATAAATTTTGTTTAAAGTAGTCATAATGAAAAGAAAAGAAAACTATCAGGATCACCAATAGTTTGCCCCAAAATCTCCTTTTTAATATGGAGATTCCCTGGGGAAGAATAACATACGGATTCCCTCGCACCTCGGTATCACAGGAATCTGTTACTCACTCTGCTATGCTTAGATAGCCTGTGACTTGTTATTGAGCAATATGCCAAGTCAAGGGAAAGAAGAGGTACAAAGGGGCAGGAGGCCCTAAAAATGGAAGCTGAAAACACTAGAGAAATACTTAACCTGGGGCACACCAACTCATACCTGTTATCCCAGAGCTTTGGGAGGCTGAAGGAGGAAGATTGCATGAGGCCAAGAGTTCAACACCAGCCGAGGCAACGTAGCGAGACCCTGTGTCTACAAGTAAAAAGAAATTAGACAGGCCTGATGGTATGCCCCTGTAGTCCCAGCTACGCAGAAGGCTGAGGTGGGAGCGTTGCTTGAGCCTGAGCAGCAGGACCACCGCACTCCAGCCTGAGCAGCAGGACGAGACCCTGTCTGGAGAAAAAACAACACACACGCACAAGCACACACACACACACACACACACACAAACTCATAAACTCATTTTGAGTCATGTACTTGAGTCAGAAAAACTTTAAAAAACGTTTTAGCCTGCTTTATTATTTTACCAAGTATGAACTCAATACTTAGGAGATTACTATTATTGAATGCCTGCACTTTAGCAGCGCCACAGAATGTTTAAATTCTTTTCAAATCATTTGTATGAATGGTTGAAAAAATGTCATGGAAAAGGTAGAATAAGCTTTGGTTTTACCATTTGATATTTCTGGTGCTAAGTACATGGTGACCTGGCAGATGCAAACTGAAACTCATATGCAGTCTCTCTCAACTCAGTTTGCAACAGGTGCATATTTTTTTAAAAAAGATGTCTAGGAAACATAAGTTTCAAATTAGTAATACAAATATAAGTATGGGAGAAACCTACACATAAAATAATATAGTAATAACATTTAAAAGAGTCAAAAGAAAAAAATTAGGAGTTTTACCACGTAACGTATTTACCTATATCTCTAACTCTGCAACTAGGTCCAGCTCCATGTATGAGTAAAAGAATAGCTACTTGGATACAGCCTCCAACTTGCTATAATTTCTTTCCACCTCCGGCTATTATTAGCAATGGTAGAAGGAAAGCTTTTAAAGAATACCTAGTAATTAAAGTTGCAGTTCAGATTAAATTCTTCTCTAATCTTTCTGTTAGATTAACTGAACAAAAAGCTTTGAAGCCTGTGACTCCTGCAGCTGTTCAGTTGCTCTCACAATCACATCATAAACTTAGGAGCCTGTTTATAGGACAGAAAAAGTGTTCTTCATTTGCAAGGAGATAGGTCAAGAAGAAATATTCTTAACAACCATGAAGGTAAAGATGTAAGGGGAAGAGGCCACCGTTACTTATTTTGAGGAAAGCACAAATCTACCTGATGGTAATGTCTTAAAGAACTGTTAGAAAATGAGTTTTGTTTTTATGATGATAGAGTACAGTTAGTCTGTGTTTGACTTATATCTGTCTGGCTATTAATAGGTACATACCAGTTTAAAACTCCTGAATCTTCTCCACCGGGTACACCAATTGGCAGGATCAAAGCCAGCGATGCTGATGTGGGAGAAAATGCTGAAATTGAGTACAGCATCACAGATGGCGAAGGGCTGGATATGTTTGATGTCATCACTGACCAGGAAACCCAGGAAGGGATTATAACTGTCAAAAAGGTAATGCCACTTCTTAAACATCATACAAGGTGAACCCATTTACTTTTCTCCAGTTCCCAACTTACCAGAGGCAATTATATCTTACATAAACATTCCTTTAGATTTTTATTTTACTTATTATTTTCAGAAAAAAAATGCTAATTCTGTCCGGGCATGACGGCTCCTGCCTGTAATCCTAGCACTTTGGGAAGCTGAGGCAGGAGAATCTCTTGAATCCTGGAGTTTGAGACCAACACGGCGAAATCCATTTCTGTTAAAAATACAAAAATTAGCTGGGTGTGGTGGTGGGTGCCTGTAATCCTGGCTACTCTGGAGACTGAGGCAGGAGGATCACTGGATCCTGGGTGGCAGAGGCAGCAGTGAGCCGAGATCACGCCACTGTACTCCAGCCTAGGTGACAAAGACTCTGTCTCAAAAAAACAGAAAGAAAAAAGAATGCCAATTCTAATGACACTGAGATCTCTTGGGTTGGCTTTCAGGGGTCTAAAATGATATGCATTCATGTTAATTCTATATATCCAATGAATTTTTATTAAGAAACTCCTAAGTAAATAAGTAATATAAATAAATGATATTCATAAAAATACATAAAGTAGGCCAGGCTCAGTGGCTCATGCCTGTAATCCCAGTACGTTGGGAAGCCGAGGTGGGCAGATCATGAGGTCAAGAGATCGAGACCATCCTGGCCAACATAGTGAAACCCCATCTCTACTAAAAAAATGTAAAAATTAGCTGGGCGTGGTGGTGCGTGTCTGTAGTCCCAGCTACTTGGGAGGCTGAGGCTGGAGAATTGCTTGAACCCAGGAGGCAGAGGTTGCAGTGAGCCAAAATCGTGCCACTGCACTCCAGCCTGGCACCTGGCGACAGAGCAAGACTCTGTCTCAAAAAAAAAAAAAAAAATACGTAAAGTAAATACTTTAAATGAACAGTAAATAAACAGCGCCAAACACTGCTCTGGGTGCTGGAGGTGCACTGGCACATACAACAGATGTTCTCTGCTCTCATGGAACTTCCAGTCTTGGCAGAAAGAAACAAGTAAACAAACAAACAAATGTATAACTACAAATTGTGATGCACGCTGTGAAGGAAAAGAGCACAGCAAGCAGTGATCAAGATGACTCGCCTCACTGAAAGAGGATATATAAAGACCACAAATTTAAATTAAATACCATAAATTTCCTGTGACTGCTTTAGCTACTTTTGGGGACACAACAATAAATCTTTTATGTTCTGATTTCTATTTTTTTCCAAAGCACTGATTCATTATTTTATTCCCTAAATTGCCTAGCACCACAGAGCAGTATACAAAAGTATGGCAAAAATTCAAAACCAATACATTGTATGCTTCAAGACCAAAAATAATATTGATTTTCATTAAATTTTTATGATTTCACTTTTATCACATATGGTGTAATACTTTCTCTCTCCTTTGGCATACTGTTATCTTTTCTAACAAATACAAGCATTGGTGGATATAAATAACGAGATATTTTTTCCTCCCAAGCTTTGGATTATGTGTCTTAATATCTGGAAACACAATAAAACATGTTTAAGTGACACTCAGACTAATGTTTTATACTATAATATAATTAGGAAGCCCATTAGTGTGCATTAACCTTTTTAATTTTCTTGGTGCCTTATCAGATTCGAACTGAAATTTTGCCTAGACGACTAAATCACATTCACTAACGTCTTGATTAATTGTGTTTCTAGTGAGCCTTGTCATATTATCATCTAAAACTAAAAGTCAGCAGTAAGCATTTGGGTTCATCATGTCTCCAAAACAAGCTACTTTTCCTAAAGACCCTTGACAACAATGATCATTACTTTCTTTGGCAAATAATTAGCCCAATGCCCTTATCAGGCTACCATTTGGAATATTTCATTACCTCATGCAAAAAAAAAAAAAAAACTTTATGTTGTCTGAATGATGGCAAAGGATTCACAATGCAAACCTGTGACTCTCAATTCTGACTGCACCATAGAATCACCAGGGAAAGTGTTTAATAATCTAGATTTTAATTGGTAACCCCAGATATGTTGGTTTAATGGTCCAGGGTGGGGCCAAGACATTGGCCAGTTTTAAATACTCATCAGTAATTAAAGCCAGATGTGAGAACATCTGACATGGAATAACACACTGCGTATTTGCCAACTTGCCTCTGATGGCCCCTCTAGTGAAACACGAGGATTTTTTAAATGGGGACACAGTGGCTTCTACCAGACCCCTGCTTCCAAGTGCCCTTCCTCCCTGGTATGATGCCTTGCACCTCAGTACCCACTTTTAATCAACAGTAGGCATGGTTTCAGCCCATACATTTTTCAGGGCTATGTGGCATCTGAACTCCTTCACAGATTTTATCATCGTTTCCTGCCTAACAGGCTAGATGTAAAAAAAATAATAATAATAATAATAAAAAAATAACATCTTATCTTTTCTGCCTTTGTCCAATATCACACTAATGTGTTTCTCTAAGCAATATGATTGCATTCATTTATCAGTGATTTACACCAAAAATGTTTCATGTCTTGGCTTTCTGCATCTTGGTTGCTTTAAATGTGTCACTTCTTCCCCCACTCCCCCACCCCAAGCTCTTGGACTTTGAAAAGAAGAAAGTGTATACCCTTAAAGTGGAAGCCTCCAATCCTCATGTTGAGCCACGATTTCTCTACCTGGGGCCTTTCAAAGATTCAGCCACGGTTAGAATTGTGGTGGAGGATGTAGATGAGCCTCCCGTCTTCAGCAAACTAGCCTACATCTTACAAATAAGAGAAGATGCTCAGATCAACACCACAATAGGCTCCGTCACAGCCCAAGATCCAGACGCTGTCAGGAATCCTATCAAGTAAGCACGCTTCTGCAACGTGTCTCTTTCATAAGCTTCAGTTTATATTTAAATAAATGCCTGCACTTTAGAAAAGATGAATCCCTTTTTTTCCAATTAGACAATTGTGTTTTCCTGAAAAACTATTCTAAAAGCACCTTTAACTCTCTTTGCTCACTGCATAAATATTATTTTGGCAGAAGTACAGTAGTCCCCTGTTATCCCTGGGGGATTGGTTCCCCAGGCCCAACTCCATATTAAAGTTCATGAATCCTGAAGTTCCTTATATAAAATGGCACGGAGCTGCATATAACCAAAGTACATCCTCTCCTATGCTTTATTCATTTCTAGATTACTTAGAGTACCAATTCGATGAAAATACTATGTAAATAGTTATCTTGATGTTTTTATTTGTATTATTTTTGATTGTTTCCTTTTTGTTTTTCCCAAACATTTTTGATTTGTAGTTGGCTGAATCCATGGTTGCAGAACCTGTGGATACACAGGGCCAACTATGTAAACCTTAAAAAAACACACATTTAGGAAGGACAGCAAGCTATAAGGAGTTTACTGCTTAAACAGAAATAGTGTAAGGTGATGCAGCTGCATGACCTGGGATTATTTTTCAAGATTTGAGATTTTTTTAAGTTTAAGATTTGTCAAAGCGTGGTATAGAAAAAGTATGATTTTTAACAAACAAGGCACTGGGCTTGAGAGTCTGTTTTTCAAGTGTAGAAAAACCTATCATGTAACACTTAGAGACAGAATTATCCTCTATTTGGATGCATTTTTCCTTTTGCAGATGTAGATAAAAACAAGAATCATTTCATGATCTATGTCTGTGAAATCCTAGGGTTATTAATAGAACAGAATCCAAATTTATGCTATGTCAACTAGCTCTGTTTTCCCTATGCTTTCCTTACACCTTAGTTGTAAATCATCTTGCAAGAAGACCTATTGCTCTTTGGGACCACCAATGCTTCAGTATTCTAGAATCTTAACAGGAAAATGCTGGAGTCAACCAACCTCTAGCCTTCAGCTAGTAGCTTAGTTGACTAAATGAGAAAAGTGCTAGCCGGGTACGGTGGCTTACTCATGTAATCCCAGCACTTTGGGAGGCTGAGGTGGGCAGATCACTCGAGGTCAGGGGTTCAAGAAGAAAAGCGCTATACCAGAATAGCATTGTGTCAATTATTCCCCATAAACAAAGTAAGCAGACTGAAAAACTAGAGAAATTCTTGCCATGAGTTCACACATAGATTCTGGTCAGAGTGCCAGCCAAGTGCCAGGTACGTTCTAGGCACTAGGGAATAACATCCTTGATCCCATGAAGCTTACATTCTAATTGGGGCAGACAGAAATAGACAAACAATAATATGTCAGGCAAAAGTAAATTTTAAGCAGGAATGTCTATGGAATTTTGTTCTAGACAAAAAAAAAAATTTAAGCAGGAAAATAAGGCAGAATAAGGAAATAAAGAGCATCTGGAGTACTATTTTAGATAATGGGGTCACGTTTGGCATTCTTGGTAGGAAACCATTTAGTGAAGATTTGAATGAAATTAAAGGGTGAACCACGTTCATACCTAGGGGAAGAACATCCCAAGAGGAGAGAAATGCAAGGGTAAGGTCTGATACCAGAGCGTGTTCAACAGTTGAAAGAGTAGCGAGGAGGCCTCCACAGCGGGAAGAGAGTGAGCGAGGGAGGCGAGGTCGGGTATGAGGCACCGGAGAGATGTGATAGCTGATGGTGAGTGTGGCAGGTACTGTAGGGCTTTGTAGTTCATGGTAAAGACTGGATTTTATTCTGATTGAGATAAGAAGCCACTGGAAACCTTTGAGTAGAAGAGTTGCCTAATGTAAAACTCCATTTTAAACGGATAACACTGGCTGCTGCATGAATCTTATTGAAGATAAAAGAACTTAGGGCTTTAAGGCAGCCATCATTTTCTAGCTTTTTCCCAGCTGATCCTTTGTTCAAATGAAACCTCATGACAAGCCCCACATCTCAAACACAAAAAAAGCCTGGCTTACCTTCAGGGAACAGTTTTAAATCGCTGGGCAAATAAACTTTTAGCATCCTACTGGAATGTCCATGAGACACTTTGAATTGGGCTATGGTCAACCCAGGGTAGCTACATGTGAGCTCCACAGATCAAGTGTTTCTCCACATACATTTAATATTATTAATAAGGAAAATGAATGATGGTTTTCACTAATATAGCACAAATAATGTAAGTACTTTCACAACTACTCTATCACTTGGAGTTTGTTGTAACTATACAAGGAAAAATAATCTTAGCAAGTATCAAATTCAATTTGAAAGTGTTAATGCTGGAAGTTTACAAATATAAGCTTTGGTTATCTCCTTGGTAGACCAACATGTTTTTAATTAGAAGAGAGAATGTTCTGTGAATTCAGGCTATATTTTCATATCTATATTACTTTTTAGACCAAATACCATTTTACCCACTGCATTATTTTCTGTTTTATGAAAGAAAGTAGTTAGCTTGTCAGATTATGTTGGCTGTCAGCTAATTTTTAAGTTTTTTACTGCCAGCCTTTCCTTGGTACATATGGATTTGATACATAGATATAGATTTAAGACTAGAAATACTTATATATATATGTATATATGTGTATATCTATATATACACACACACATATGTATATGCATATAAATGGTATTCCAGTGTCCTTTTATAGGATAAAATTCAATCTTATATTAGAAAAGTACATTCGTACATAGTTTTTGATTATTCAAGATATAAATGTTGAACAACTAAGTGCTAGACAATATGTTATGTGCAAAATTAACACTAGAAAATTCTTCCCCAGAGCACTGATTTATCATTATGCAGGCACAAATCTTTAATTCTTTAATCACATAAAATTATTTTCTTCTAATAACTTCATCTCAAATTCCCTTTGGTTTCTGTGAAAGAATCTTATAATATGTCACTATAAATACAAATTATGAAAAATTTGTGCAAACACACCTCCTTTCCAGGAAGAACCACAAATCTTCCTGATTTGAGGATACATTAGAAAACAAATTATTTAATCACAAAGTACAATGAAGTCCTAGAAAAAAAAAAGAGCTACCTAGCGGAAGGATCTGCTATAATCATGATGGGATTGATTATCTTGTTCCTTATCAGTGATAACTACAAGTAATGTGACTGGACAATAAATATCCTTGATATAAATTTAAACTACCCTGGAAAGAAAAACCAAAAAACAATCAAGGCTTTGTGTACAAGCATTTTCCCTCAATGGTGTGGGCATTTTAGATTTTCTGTTAATTTTTAAGTGTCCCAACAAAAGGAAAACATATAATTTTGGTATTCCCTAAATAGTTACTTTCTCTTTCAAATTGAAAGCTGCCTTCAACTAAAAATTCTCACTCTTACCCTTTATGTCAAGGCTTGATAGGAAAATATGACTACTTGTAAAATTTAAAACTACAGCAGGAGGAAAAGACGCAAAGAACAAAACAAGATTATTGCTGTCTATAATTGTAACAGCTTATAGAGGCAGCACTTCTTAAGCTTAGCATTTTCCATGAGAAAAAAAGTATGTAGATAATTATTAAATTTCTTACAGTCTATGAATATTGAGATTTCCTTTTTGTAATTATGTGCTATAAATATTTATCATTCTCAAATTTAAAATAAGAAGTGATTGAGCAAACATAATACTGTTGCCTAAGTTCTTAATAAATGTTGGTTCATGACATAAATGGCAAAACTATAGCTGTTTTGTTTGTTTTAACCCTTTTGATAATAAAAACATAAGTTCATATACATTGAAACTGGAATTCAAATTCAACTTGGTATTACACCCATTGTGAACTTCATTAATTCTCTTTAAAATCATGTTTAAATGTCCTATGATAATTGAATATCTATTTTATTTAGACACTCACTAGATGACAAAAATAAATTTTATGAAAGTAAAATATATTGTTCATTATAATTCACTACTCGTGTTTTAAACCAAAATAATATATTCAAGTAGAATCGTGGATGCGGTATACTGTGGCAAATTAGTAACAAGGGTTTATTTTTCTTAGCACACTCATAATAATTCCACATATGTCTGCCTAGTTAGGTCATTTACTTAAACTGAATTTCTAACTGAGGCAATGTTTTTAAACCCCATAAAGTTTTAAAAATCCGACTGAAATGGGCAATTTTTTTCCTAATAGCCTTAACATATCAACTTTCTTCCGTTTTCTCTGTAATATCCCACTCCCACCCTGCTCATAAATATGTTGTATTAGTTCCCTTTTACACTGCTGTAAAGAACTACCTGAGACTGGGTAATTTATGAAAAGGTTTAATTGACTACCATTTCCACAGGCTGTACAGGAAGCATGGCCAAAAGGCCTCAGGAAACTTACAATCATAGCAGAAGGAGAAAAAGAAAAGGAAGGGGAAAATGCCACACACTTTCAAACCATCAGCTCTCATAATAACTCACTCACTATCACAAGAACAGCAAGGGGGAAGTCTGCTCCATGATTCAGTCATCTCTGACCAGGTCCCTTCTCCAACATATTGGGATTACAATTAGAAATCAGATTTGGGTGGGGACACAGAGCCAAACCATATCATTCTTCCCCTGGCGCCTCTCAAATCTCATGTCCTTTTCACTTTTCAAAACCAACCATGTCTTCCCAATAGTCCCTCAAAGTCTTAACTCATCCCAGCATTAACTCAAAAGTCCAAGTCCAAAGTCTCATGCAAGACAAGGCAGGTCCTTTCAGCCTATGAGCCTGTAAAATAAAATACAAGTTAGTTACTTCCATACAGTGAGGGTACAGATATTGGGTAAATGTTTCCATTCCAAAAGGGAGATATTGGCCAAAGCCAAGGGGCTACAGGCCCCACGCAAGTCTGAAATCCAACCGGTCAGTCATTAAACCTTGAGGCTCCAAAATAATCTCCTTTGACTCCATGTCTCACCTTTAGGGCATGCTGATAAAAAGGGTGGGTTCCCGTGGCCTTTGGCAGCTCCATTCCTGTGGCTCTGCAAGGTACAACCCCCGAGGCTGCTTTCACGGGCTGGCATTCAATGCCTGCAGCTTTCCCAGGCTCATGGTACACACTGTTGGTGGTTCCACCATTCTGGGGTCTGAAAGAGAGTGGCCCCCTTCTCACAGCTCCACTCGGCAATGCCCCAGTGGGGACTCTTTGTGGGGGTTCCAACCCCTCATTTTCCCTCCACACTGCTCCAGCAGAGGTTCTCCCTGAGGTCTCCACCACTGCAGCAGACTTCTGCCTAGACATCCAGGCATTTCGATACAACCTCTGAAATCCCAAACCTCAACTTCTTGCCTTCTGCACACCTTCAGGCCCAATATCATGTGGAAGCCACCAAGGATTGGGGCTTCCACCTTCTGAAGCCACATCCTAAGCAATACCTTGGTCCCTTTTAGCCACGGCTGGGGCTGGAGCAGCTGGAACACAGAATGCCATGTCCCAAGGCTGCACAGAGCAGCTGGGCCCTAGGCATTGTCCATGAAACCAATTTTTCCCTCCTATGCCTCTGGGCCTGTGAGGGAAGGGGCCGCCATCAAGGTCCCTGAAATACCCTGAAGACATTTTCCCCCTTGTCCTGCTATTAACATTTGGCTCCTCTTTACTTATGGAAATTTCTGCAGCAGGCTTGAATTCCTCCCCAGAAAATGGATTTTTCTTTTCTACCACATAGTCAGGCTGCAAATTTTCCATACATTTATGCTCTGCTTCCATTTTAAATATAAGGTGCAGTTTCAGATTATCTCTTTGTTCACGCATATGAGCGTACAGTTTTAGCAACAGCCAGATCACTTCTTGAATGCTTTGCTGCTTACAAATTTCTTCTGCCAAATACCCTAAATCATCTCTCTCAAGTTCAAATTTCCACAGATCTCTAGGGCAGAGGCAAAACACTGCCAGTCTCTTTGCTAAAGCAAAGCAAGGGTGACCTTTAATCCAGTTCCCAACAAGTTCCTCATCTCCATCTGAGACCTCCTCAGCCTGGACTTCATTGTCCATATCATTGTCAGCATTTTGGTCAAAACCTTTCAACAAGTCTCTAGGAAGTTCCAAACTTTCTCACATGTTTCTTTCTTCTCCTGAGCCGTCCAAGCTGTTCCAACCTCTGTTTATTACCCAGTTGCAATGTCACTTCCACATTTTCAGGTATCTTCATAGCAATGCCCCACTTTCCTGGTACCAATTTTCTGTATTAGTTCATTCTCACACTGCTGTAAAGAACTATCTGAGACTGCGGAATTTATGAAGAAAAGAGATTTAATCAGCTCACACTTCTACAGGCTATACGGGAAGCATGGCTAAGAGGCCGCAGAAAACTTTTAATCATGGCAAAAGGTAAAGGGGAAGCACTACACTTTTAAACCATCAGATCTCATGAGAATTCACTCACTATCACGAGATCAGCAAGGGAGAAGTCTGCCCCCATGATACAATCACCTCCCATCAGGCCTCTCCTATGACATACGGGGATTACAATTCAAGATTAGATTTGGGTGAGGACACAGAGCCAACCCATATCACATAGCCATTCTAAAAACTAGTAATACATTTATGAGAAGACAACATTTCTCAAAATCCACTAGTCTTCCGCCAGTGTTAGGTTTGGAATGCTTGGTTTCCAAAATGCTACTCTTGGTTTTCCTTGAATTTATTCAAACTCTCCTTCTTAAATATTTATCAAGTTCCTAGTTGGTTCTAGGCACCACTGTGTATCTCTGGTCTCCCACTGATTTAAGTGATGTAAGTGATTCTGTCTTTAGTGTTTTTCTTCCTTCACTGGACATTCTTTTCTTAGATAGTTGAATGGAAATCTGGGATCAGTCCAGCTCTTAATCTTGAGCTTCATACTAGATATCTCTTCCCAGACTTCTCTCAAGCACCTCAGCCTAGTTATCAAAAATGGAACTTACCCATTTTCCCGGAATCCTATTGTTCACTCCTCTTCTTTCTGTTTGTGGCAGCACCATCCAACCATTCTCAATTCAACCAGTGATCTTTGTTAACCATGATTTAGATTGTGGCACTCCCCTGCTTAAAACCCTCTATAGCCAGGTGTGGTGGCTCATGCCTGTTATCCCAGGACCTTGGGAGACCAAGGTAGGGGGATCACTTGAACTCAGGAGTTCAAGACCAGCCTGGGCAAAATGGCAAAATCCTGTCTCTACCAAAAAAAAATACAAAAATTAGCAGGGCATGGTGGCACACACCTGTGGTCCCAGCTAATCGGGAGGCTAAGGTGGGAGAATCACTTGAGCCTGGGAGGTCAAGCAGTGAGCCAAGATCATGTGACTGCACTCCAGCCTGAGTGACAGAGTGAGAGAGTGAGACCCCTATCTCAAAACAAACAAACAAAGAACCCTTTGTTAGATTCTCATTGCATTTAGAATAAATCCCAATTCCTCACCACAGCCTTATTCTGCAGTCTGGACTCTGGCTGTCTCCCCAATCTCATCTCTTATCTCCCTCTACTGCCTTACTAACCTTGGCCACACCAGCCATCTTTTGCTTATTTCAACAGAAGATTTTTTAAATTAAATGGAGAGTAGAAAATAATCATCACCCTACATATGCATAAACACACACACACATGTATATTGAAGTCCTCAGGTTGTAAAAACTTGAGTTAAAGGTGAAACAATTACTATATAAATTTGATCCGAATTTATACATAGAAAAGAAATTTAATGGTGATGCTCAAAATCATGCAACTTGTCTAGTGTAGTGAGTTTACTATTCACACCTCCATTGTAAATAGCTAATTTCTCAAAATATTTTACTTAATGTCAAGTTGTAGATATTCAAACATGCACTAGATAGAAAAACAATCCATGCCACAGATATTCTGGGACATGATGTGTCCCAGATGTTTTATGGTGTTCTATGATGTTGGAATAGGAAATAGAAGGAAAAGCCTTTCTTAATTCCACTCTGCATTTTCAGGTACTCTGTTGATCGACACACAGATATGGACAGAATATTCAACATAGATTCTGGAAATGGTTCCATTTTTACATCGAAACTTCTTGACCGCGAAACACTGCTATGGCACAACATTACAGTGATAGCAACAGAGATCAGTAAGTCCTACCTAATACCACTGCTGTCCCCATTGATAGAGTGAGTGTCCCAGCAAGGGCTGGGGAGCATATCACCATGTACTGACAATCTCACTTAACATATATATTGAGGGAAAGAGCCCTGGAGTGATTTCCAGTAATGCCTCTTCTAGACATACATTGGTTCATTCATAAATGGAGAGGCAACCATGGAAGTTCTGCAGTCTGAAAACAATAAAATGGGAATGTATCTCACAAATGAGATTGAATTGGTACTTGATGGATTTAATTCCAACAAGCTTATAAATTAGAACATTACATAAACAGCTGCAGAAAAACAGACTCTCAATTAGACATTGCGTGGGGAGCAAAAGATGAGAGGGGTCAAGTATATTGAAAAATGTGGGCATTGTTTAGAAAGTTTTTAGATATCAGTCCTCTAGTTTACTATAGAATTTCTATTTCAAAGTCTTTATAGAATTAAGAGATAAATTATCACTTTTCCATGGTATACCAAAGTGAGTAATATAAACTACAAAGTAATCAATAAAATGATTAGGATGAATTTTATGGTAGCCCATGAAACTGAAGGCAAAGAACAATAGTGCCAAAAGAATGCTTCAAATAAAGTGATTACACACAATGCAAACTAATGTATATTGTAAATACAATGTGCAGACTGAAGAACATAAGTGGAAAATGATCTTTAAAATAATTTAATGTTTAAAAATATGCTTCTGAAATATAGCTCACTTTTTAGTTTTTGTGTTTAATTTTAAAAGTTCTAAACATTTTTAGCTCACTTTGGGTATCTAGTGTGAAATATTCCATATCGAACAGTTTATTACAGTTGTATTTTCTGTCAGGATAGCTCATGAGATTTGAAGTGACTAAAGGATATTTGGTAGACTAGTAACCAATATGGGCAAAATGAAGCATTGCTTTTAGATCGTGATAAGGACAGTGCATTAGAAATAAGCTAGGAATTTGCTCTTTAGGATTTATGTCAAGATTTAGCTTGAAGTTTATGTTAATTTATATTAAGGGACAAGTGTGGATACCAAAGACAGAGCATCTTTTAAGTTTTTAAATTATAGAATTATTTTCCACTGAAAAGGACCATTAAGACCATGAAATTTTATTTTTTACCAAAGCAGTTTTTCAGAAGTATTTTAAGCTTTGTGGCTAAAAATTTGTTTTTAAGATTTAATGTTTCTATGACACATTTAAAGTATTAGTGACTAAGATCTCTTAAAAGTTAATATTCAGCTGCTCTAACTTTTGAAGAATAGTGTGAGTAAAATTTTAGACACAAGTGATCTTAAAGAATCTTACTGTCTAATCTTCCTAACAAACTTTGATATAACAGAAGCCAAGAGCTTGTATAAAACCAGCTGCTGCTCACCTCAGGGCCTTTGCATGTGCTGATTCCTCTACCTGAAAAGCCAGAAATATTCACATGGCTTAAACCTTCTCTTCATTCACATCTCTGGGCAAATAATGTCTCGTCAGAGAAGCAGTCCTCTGTCATCATTCTAAGTAGCGCCTCTATTTATCTCAATCATTTTTCCATGCTTAATTTCTCTACAGCATTTACTACCTAACACATTATATGTTGATGTGTTTATGGTTTGTCCATCCCCATTAGAATAAAGCTCCAGGAAACAGGATCTTTGTTATGTTTCCTACGTGCCCCAGCATCTCAAGTAGAGGCTGCTATATATTAGGTATTAGATGCTCACTAAATACTTACAAAGTGAACAAACAAATAGACATACTAGTGAAGTAAATGAAGAGAGCTGAGTTGATGGATTCTAACTCCTAATTCGTACACCAGGAATCTGTCTTCCATACTGTGCTAGAAGATTATCACAGAAAGAAACCAAAATCCTTCATTTATCTCAGGTCTGCGAACATTGATTCCGCTCTGTCATTAATTCCAGATGAACAGCCTGGGCTTTCAGCCTGGGCTTGGAGTCAGACAGACCCAAATTTGAATCTGGACTTCACGCTTTACTGTCTCTGGAAACACAGATAAATTACTTAATTTCTCTATGCCTCAGTTTCCTCATCGACAAAATGGGGGCAGTAACTCTGTCCACCTCAGAAGTTTGTGAGAATTAAATAACATCATATAGCAAAGGGTTTAGCATGACATCTCGCTCTCACTCAGCACTCGAACTAAAACACTAAGATTGATCACTATCCTTTGGTCTTCTGCTGTTTCGTTCATTTTCCCTCTGTCCATCTGCTCCCCATCTGCCTGCTTCCTTGAAAATCTACCTCTAAAATGCCTTTCTTGGTTTTGTGTTACCTTAAGGTTTATTATGCAGTTGAACTATGTCAACACAAGTAGCTTTGTCCCCCAGTTAACTTCAACAGGTGTATCCAACTCCAGATGTACCAAACAATCTAATTCTACTTTTTGTGACCACATTGGTACTTGATGCCCGGTAGTACTGCAGCTTGGGGAATCCGTGCATGAATGAGAATGAAGGAGTTGAGTAGATGGTGTATAAAGGGAATCGGCAATCAACATGTAAATGGCTTTTTCTTTCTTTTTGGTATGTGACAGATAATCCAAAGCAAAGTAGCCGAGTACCTCTATATATTAAAGTTCTAGATGTCAATGACAACGCCCCAGAATTTGCAGAGTTCTATGAAACTTTTGTCTGTGAAAAAGCAAAGGCAGATCAGGTGAGTTTCATTAAAAAGTACATTCAAGTTGAAAGATTAATTTAGGTCTTCTAATCATTCAGATGATTCACAGGGCTGAAGGAGAGTTGTGAATTATCTATGAAGTGAATGCTACGGAAATTAATGCTATAAATACGAACCAGGACTTACATATGAGAACTAACAGTTTTGAAGAACTGGAAGTTCATCAAAGACTGATGCTGATTCCAAATCGATCTCAAGTTTTCGTTAAAATAGATTAGTCACAGCTTTATTGGAAAAATCTGTATTGGTGAACAGATCGTTTAATTACCATACGCCCTTGAAGTAATAACTAGAACATACTTTATAATGGCCTATAATTCATAATTTCACTTATTTACTTTGACCATCTGTATAAGTAATACAAATTCATGAATGTTTTACTGTTTTACACATTTGTCCCCACATGAAATAGGTCTTTGCTGCCAGTGATATAAAAATTATGTTTCAGTTAATTAAAATCGAAATACACTGTTAAAGTACATGTGCAACTAGGAAGCTGGTTACCAAGTTCTATACACTCATTTCCTTTTTTGTTTTTTGCGAGTTGATAGCTTACGTAATGCTAAGAGTGCCTTTCTAAACAGACTGTCCAAAGAGCACTTCTACTTTGTGAAGTTGCAGTGTTGTCACAGACTATTGGGAAATTTTATAGCTTAGCATCACTCAAGGCCAGATGTTTCTCAATCAGGGTGATTTCCTCCCTGGGGATATTTTCAGTATCTTGAGAGAGTTTGATTGTCACACTAGACGGTGCTACTGGTATCTGGTGGGTAGAGGCCAGAGTTGCTGCTGAACATCCCGCAATGCACAGGACATCCATCCCCACCACAAAGAATCGTCCCCTACCTTTTGGTTTTCTAGCCCATAATAAAACGGATTCACTGTACATGACTTAGAGGCTATCATTTCGGTAATTAAATTTTAAATCATTTTGTCAAGCAATTTATTGCAAAATTGTAAGAAACACTTTTGAGTTATCAAAACTTTATGGAAGCATTCTGGTTTTTCTCTTAGTTGATTCAGACCCTACATGCTGTTGACAAGGATGACCCTTATAGTGGACACCAATTTTCATTTTCTTTGGCCCCTGAAGCAGCCAGTGGCTCAAACTTTACCATTCAAGACAACAAAGGTAAATGAGTTCAATTTACCTTCTTTATCTCCATCTATAACCATACATATATCTGTACGTATGTGTATATCTGTATCTCTTTTCATTTCCCATCACAGTTGATTCAATACATGACACAGTATCCACATACATTCACCACTTTGCTTTCCATTCCAGACAACACGGCGGGAATCTTAACTCGGAAAAATGGCTATAATAGACACGAGATGAGCACCTATCTCTTGCCTGTGGTCATTTCAGACAACGACTACCCAGTTCAAAGCAGCACTGGGACAGTGACTGTCCGGGTCTGTGCATGTGACCACCACGGGAACATGCAGTCCTGCCATGCGGAGGCGCTCATCCACCCCACGGGACTGAGCACGGGGGCTCTGGTTGCCATCCTTCTGTGCATCGTGATCCTACTAGGTAAACTGGTTCTCCCTGCCTCCTATCTCCCCATGGTGAGGGGCTCACACTGTTACTGTGACACTCTAGATTTATCTGCCTCCCCCATTAAGGCATACAGCCTGATCTAGGTGAGTAGAGTTACATGCTGAGAATCTGTGCTGTACGATGTGAACACATTTTTTGCTTGAAAATGGCTTTGGAGAATGAACAGACGTGAAAGTTGCTCGTGTCTTTGCTTGCCCAGGAATCACTCCACGGAAAGAATCTCTTGTCTATCAGACTGGGAATGAATCTTGAGGGATTTCAGGGCAACATCAATGTGCTCTTTTCATTTCATTTGTTGTGTAATTTTTTTACTTGGAAAACGTTGTTGTTAAGTGTCTGGCATGGAGTATATGATGAGGGCCCTTTCTATGAAGGTAAAGGTTAAAGTACTACGGGAAAGTGGGAAAAGGAATGTGATGATTTTTCTCTCATCCTGGAAAAATAAAAGCTCTGAAATTTTTTTAACCCAGCAAACTAATGTTGATCTACCATTTATATGATTACCTTCTTAGCATTGCTCTCTGATTGCCACATACATAAGGTCTATTTCTCGCATAACCATAAACAGCCTCTGTGATTGAGGAGATAAGTATGGGGTCCCAAAAGAAATGAATGTAATAAAAATGAAAATCAGGGTCTAACAAGGATTCAAATGAAATTTTTACCCCCAACCAACTAATTAAGCCTACAAGTCGAGCTCAGATTTCTCAACAGGCCCTTGACTGTTTTGTGAACTAAGAAATCAAATATTTGTTAATGCAGCCTTTCCAAAAATAAAAGCAAGATTTGTAAAGCTTGTCTATATAGTGAAAAGAAAAAGTAAGAAGTTAAGAGTCAACCTGAATTATACAGGGGGGAAAACTCTTCTTTAAAAAATGAAGACAGAGTGACTTTGAGAAGAGTAAAAAAGAACCTGCATTTCGCCAAGAACAGAATGCCTAGGGATTCCTGCTCGAGAGCTCCTTCACTTTCTACATCAACCTGCTAACTCTAACAGAAGCCTTGAGACTCAGCTACAGAACTGTGATTCTCTTTGTCAATTAAGATTTGGGGAAAGTATTTTAAGATATGAGCGTAAATAAAAGCTGACAGTGTGCAAAGACAAATGAGTGTTTCTAATGGTGTGAGTCTGTGAACATTGTTTTGGAAGAGAAAGATATGAATGTTCTTTTTGATGAAAAGGGTTATTTTTTAGAAACCTTGGATTGGTAGGGCTGAACCCATGGTCTCTTTTAGTCATCTATGGAAGGAGAGATAACTCACATCTGACAGAGGTGATTCTTCCTTTCTCTCATCATCTACACATTTTCTCTTCCCCCTTTTCTTCCTTCTAGTCAACTCACTGAATCTTCCCCCTCTCATTTTCTTCCTCCAATGAATTAACTGTCTCCTCCTGACTTCTAATTGGCCTCGGTAACTCCCACATCTTGTTTAATCTCTTCAGAATTCTATACCTAATAAAAAGGAAGGAGAAAGATGGGATTTAGCCTTAACTAGGTACACACCATAGGTCAGATGCTGTGCAAGATACTTTACAAAGGTTTTTCTCACCTAATCCTCAGCACCATTTGGTGCATACTTAACTGTACCTTAAATATGAAAGCTGCGGTTCCGAGATGTGAAGTAATGTAGCCATGTCACGTGTCTGACACGTGGTAGAACTAAAGTTTCCAACCCAAGTTTTCTTCCCCAGGCTTGGTGCCTGAAGACTGCACTCTGCTCTCTTTTAAAATTTAGGAAATGCAGGACAATTTCCAGGCCGAAAGATGGCCCAAACTTAAAATGTGGCAATTGAAGAAAGTGGAGGAAAATGAAGGATAGCCACATTGATATAGGAAGAAATCTGGAGTCAAGAAAGTAGATCATATGGTAATGGATATTTTACAAAAATAAGGCAACAGTGAAAACAGCTAGACAACCACTACATCTCATGTCTTATGGTGCCTTAGAGTTTGCAAAACTTTCACATTTATTAACTCATTCCTGACAATAAGACTGGGTACTGCAAGACTGCTTTTCTTTTACAAATAAGAAAATTGGCTTAGAACAGTCAAATCATTTAATTTAACCCAGATCTCTTGACCCTCTAGTTTTATGATGAAAGTCTGAATACAAATTTACCCAATTGTCCCTCTATGCCTGCCCCCAAAAATTTTACTGCTGCCCTCTGGTTGTAAAAGTATAAAGGAAAGAGGGAGACTCAGTTCCTGCTGAGGGCACCTCATCAGGGTATCACTTTCTAAGAATGCCTCATGTGCTTACCAGTCACATTTTGACATTTTATAAAAGTTCGCTTTGAGAGCTCTCCTTCTAGACAGGGATACTCTCAAGAAATTCTGTTCAGATGTGCACTGGGCTAATAAGAAAAGATATCGGCCATTTTCGCTGTAGAAGAATTAGGTTAAATAAATGCCTTTGATTTCTTGAATGTGCCCTCTCCCTTCTAGACAGTTGCACTTCCAGATGTGCATAGGACTAAAATAAAAGCTGTAGATACCTTAAGCCAGGGAAGAATTAGGAGGTGATGATAAAAGCCTGCCTCTTGCCTTACATGACTGAATGAGCCCAGGTACATAAGCGCTTAATTCCTGGAGAGACAGTTGGCTTGATTCTATTCTCTAATCCCAATGACCGTCCTTACTTACAACCCTCTGTTTTGCAAATCCCTGTCATTCTTCACACTGGCAACCAGTATGAAAGGTAGATCATGAGCATCCCTCTGCCCAAAGCCCTGCAGTTCTCTTCATGTCTTTGTTCAAATTATGCAACTTCCCTCCAATAACATATACAAAACTGTGCTAGTGGGCGTGGTGGCTCACACCTGTAATCCCAGCACTTTGGGAGGCTGAGGCAGGTGGATCACTTGAGGTCATGAGGTCGAGACTAGCCTGGTCCAACGTAATGAAACCCTGTCTCTACTAAAAATACAAAAATTAGCCAGGTGTGGTGATGAGTGCCTATAATCCCAGCTACTTGGGAGGCAGAGGCAGGAGAATTGCTGGAACCTGGGAGGCGGAGGTTGCAGTGATCTGAGATCGTACCACTGCACTCCAGCGTGGGCGACAAAGCGAGACTCCATCTTAAAAACAAAAAACAAAACAAACAAACAAAAAAAAAACTGCTGTATGATCATATGGGCTCCTCAAACATATATATACAATAGCACTTTTTCTCCACCTTGTTCTGCTCTGCTCTTTCTTATTCATATTGCACTTATCATCTTCTAACAATATCCTTATTTATGACACACATTGTTTATTTTGTCACCATCCAACTATCCCCCACCCCACCCACCCCCTCACTCAGTGCCTAGAACCATATCTGGTACAGGGTAGGCACTACATAAATATTTATCAAATGAATGAATGAGTAAATACCCTGAATGGATGTGACACATTAGGCATCAGGATACTTTCTGGCAACAAAAGAGAGTGTGTACAATTACAAAACCACACACTTGAAAGTGGCAAAGTTACATTTCCTTTGAATACAGACTATACTCCAAACATGCTTCAGAGCATGGCAATTATGAGTACAGGCTTTTTAGTCTGACCAACCTGGATTTGAATTGCATGTACATGTAACATCTTTAAACTTCAATTTCCTATTCTGTAAAATGGGGTTTTAATGAGGGTATCTACTTTCTAGGACTATTGTGATAATTAAATGAGATTCAGTATGTTACGTACTTAGGACAGTGCTTAGCACATAGAAAGCTCTCAATAGGTAACCAATTATTATTAATACTAATGAAATTTTAATATATAGATATATGGGTGTGCCTACATTTATTATTATATAGGTAGTTATGTATACTCACTAAAGAGGCATTATTCCATAATTCTTATTGCAATAATTCAGTTTTCATGGCTCATAAAGATTGGGCCTTGTTATGGATGACATAGTAAAGAGACATTACTGCAACTTCCTGTAACAAACTCCTCTGCACAAGCCCCATTTAACAATGCACTTTGTGGCCTAGATGGCTGTTTTCTCTCTAAGCTTTTACTATGCTTGTATTTTTTTTCACCCATATGTCCATTTGTAGATAAATGTGTCTCTCTACAGGTAGCCAGCTGTGTTCCACCCAGCCAGCTGTGAAGAATGATCAGGAGCTATTTAAACACAATTCTTGCTTTGCCTCTAATTTCAGTTAGGAGGGAAAAATCAAAAGAATGAACATTCTCAGTAACAAACTTACAGAACATGAACCTTGGAAAAATATTTTTTAAAATCTCACATTATTTCATTTAGCTCAAACAGAAATAATATGGCATGAGGATTCTTACCTGCCCACTTCAAGTTAACCAATCTTGAAATCCAAAACAGCTTTCAGAATTATATCCCTGTCTCCAGGTATTTTCTGGAATAGTATCACTTTATATGTAGGAAAGGTATGCAAATATTCACATCTACCTTGGGCTTTAAACTAATTTTACACTTTTCTCAGGAAAAAAAAAAAAGAACAACAACAAAAAAGGCATAGCGCAAAAGTTATTTTAGATGTGGAGTTATGCAATCCCGTCGACACATCCCCAAAGGTGCCAGTCTTGTTTTTATAACCGGTTTCAGAGCATTTTAGGTGTTCAGCATAATTCGCACCCTGATTGAAGTACATTTCACTGAGGCTGAGTTTCTTTTTTTATTATCTTATTTTTTTCTTACCTTGAAACTAGTTTGCCATTTCAAAGTAAAAAGGAACTACTGTCAAAATATGATGGTGTTTTTATCCTCTACTTAAATTGTAACCTTCTTTCAAATATTTAGTCCATTTTGTGGGTCCCGGTTTGATCATGAATGGAGGCAAGTGCATCCTTAAAGACACAAAAGTTGAGTCTGCGTTTTCTAGAGAACTTTTAAAAACTTCACATTTGAGCACGGTGTTTCTTCCTGACATTAATTGGGCAGCAAATTAACTTTTCCTTCCCTTTCTGTTTTGTTTTCTGCTTCCAGTGACAGTGGTGCTGTTCGCAGCGCTGAGGCGGCAGCGAAAAAAAGAGCCTTTGATCATTTCCAAAGAGGACATCAGAGATAACATTGTCAGTTACAACGACGAAGGTGGTGGGGAGGAGGACACCCAGGCTTTTGATATCGGCACCCTGAGGAATCCTGAAGCCATAGAGGACAACAAATTACGAAGGGACATTGTGCCCGAAGCCCTTTTTCTACCCCGACGGACTCCAACAGCTCGAGACAACACCGATGTCAGAGATTTCATTAACCAAAGGTTAAAGGAAAATGACACGGACCCCACTGCCCCGCCATACGACTCCTTGGCCACTTACGCCTACGAAGGCACTGGCTCCGTGGCGGATTCCCTGAGCTCGCTGGAGTCAGTGACCACGGATGGAGATCAAGACTATGATTACCTTAGTGACTGGGGACCTCGATTCAAAAAGCTTGCAGATATGTACGGAGGAGTGGACAGTGACAAAGACTCCTAATCTGTTGCCTTTTTCATTTTCCAATACGACGCTGAAATATGTGAAGTGGCTATTTCTTTATATTTATCCACTACTCCGTGAAGGGTTCTCTGTTCTACCCGTTTTAAAAGCCAATGGCTGCCCTCTGTGTGGATCCAATGGTAGAGACTTTTTTCTACTACACTTTTATGAGCTTCCAAGGGGCAAATTTTTATTTTTTAGTGCATCCAGTTTACCAAGTCATCCCAACAGGCACGGGCCAGAGGGGAGGACAGGGAACAATGTTTCCATTTGTTCTCAGAGCAACGTGCTCACTTCTGCTGGCCTGGTGATTTACTACACGCCGTGTCAGGCCTGCCTACTGCCCTAACTACACATTTCACAGGCTAATGGGATAAGCGACTGCGCTTTAAAGATAAAAATATCATAGTGAAAGAAATGAGGGCATATCAGCTCACAAGGAGATAAACTACATGGGGGGGTTTATTTCTGTCGCAAAGAATTTAAAATAACACTTGCCCATCCTTATTGTTCTTCAAGAACTTTCTCTGGCATCAACCACTATTCAAAACCTCAAATCCACCCATATGTTAAAATTCTCATTACCCTTAAGGAATAGAAGCAAATTAAACGGTAACATCCAAAAACAACCACAAACTTAGTATGACTTCATTCCTTCCACTAACTCATAATTGGTTATATCCTAGACTAGACATGCGAAAGTTTGCCTTTGTACCATATAAAGGGGGCGGGGAAATAGCTAATAATGTTAACAAAGGAAATATATTTTAGCATACGTTAAAAGCTTTGGCCACCACATGTATCACGGGTCCCTTGAAATTCTTTCAACTATCAGTAGGCTAATGTCAAAATTGTTTAAAAATTCTTGAAGAATTTTCCTGAGATAAATTTTAACTCCTTGTCTATAGTTGTCAGTATTATTCTACTATACTGTATATGAAAGTAGCAGTGTGAAGTACAATAATTCATATTCTTCATATCCTTCTTACACAACTAAGTTGAATTAGTAAAGTTAGATTAAATAAAACTTGAATCTCACTCTACGAGTTCACTGGGGAGGTTAGAGCTACACTTGAACCTAATACCCTGCCCTTGACATCTGGAAACGTCTACCTATTTATATAATGTGATACATTTGGATAAACAACGTTGAGATTATGATGAAAACTTACATATTCCATGTTTGGAAGACCCTTACAAAGGGAAAATTGGATTCCTTTAAACAAAAATGTAATTAAAACGATATAGTTGATTTTCAAAAGCATTAATTTTTTTTTCATTGTTTTTAACTTTGCTTTCATGATCACCCTGCCATCCTTGACTTTGAACTAATGATAAAGTAATGGTCTCAAACTATGACAGAAAAGTAATGCAAAATCCATTCAATCTATTATTTCTCTAATTATGCAATTAGCCTCATAGTTATTATCCAGAGGACTCAATTGAACTGAACTAATCCTTCTGGCAAATTCAAATCATTTCTTTCACACGGTTGTTCTAATGACTTTTATCATTAGAATCTTACCTTGTGTAGTCATCAGAAATTTCCAACGTACTGTAATGAAAACAAACATCCTTTTTGAAAACCTAAAAGACAGGCTCTGTATATATATAGACTTAAGAATATGCTGAGTTCACTTATTAGTCTTAAGGATTTATTTTCAATTAATATTAATTTTCTATGAATAATTTTAGTGTCATTTCCATTTGGGGATATTGACATATCAGTACATATTTTCTGTTTGGAAACATGCTGTTGTTTAGTTATGTTTTAAATAGGCGTATTACCCAAGAAGTTAAGATGGAAATTTTAAAAGAAGAGAAGTGTAGTATTTTGGGTTACCTGATTCGAGTGAAAATTTTTACAATCATATTATTCCTGTGTCTTCTGAATGGTTTCCAATTTTATAATGGACTGTCCTATATATTAACAAGTATTTCATGCTTGAGGTGTTTCTTGCTTTCAGGGTTTTCTTTTCTCTAATTCTTCATACACACACACACACACACCACACACACACACACACACACAGAGGAATGCAACAAAGGGCTATATGAAGTCTTCGCTCCAATTAATTGATATGTATCATAGTCACAGGTAAGTGTTGAAAAAAGCTTAGTAAAGTTAATTAATAAAAACTAGTTATTCATAGCAATACAACAGCACCTTAATCACACAATTTACTATAAAATTAAAGAGGTCTCTATTCTTATGTTTTATGTCATGTAACAAATTGAATCAAGAAAGATAGTCCTGTAAAAAGAAAGGTATCATCTGAAGTTGAGGATTGACGCTAGCAATTTCCAATGTTTAAAGGAAAGATCTGCGTTCTCCTAATAAGTGAAAGTAAGTTCTATGGCAGAATATCTGAGATGTAATTGGCAAGGTCCTTTATCCCTCCCTAAAGATGATACAGCATACCAAGAACAGGTTAATATGACTACTTATGGAAATAACATTAATCTCTTATCACAAAAGCTGATGATGAAGTAAATTTATAGGAAACTGGATAATTTGAGACTGGGGCTGAATATTTAGTACCACGGTACTGTAAGTATCAAGTTGGAGTGGCATTTTCCTATAATTCAGACTCTTTGACATCGTGGAACCAATAGGAGACATAGTTCCATCACTCTCCAGCTTCCTGTCACTTCCTTCCCTCCCCAAGTATCAGGTCAAACATCATTGCATGTACAGATTTTGTTTTGTTTTGTTTTTAATTGCTAGGTCCCAGGCAACATGAAAGATTACTGGAGAAAAAAATAATTTTCAGCTCAGTTTTTTCATTGTCTGTGTCCTAATTTTAGATGTTGGTGATAGGAAAGATGGAAGGAGAGTGGGAAGAAGTAAAATTTTAATATTGGTTTCGATCACTGAGAAACTAAAATCCATTAAACATAACCAGATTGCTTTTGTGGGTTGTTTCAAGGACATTGAGATCTTTCTGATGATATGTTTTTGCCCTCTATTCAAAAAGAAGAGTTCCTTTAAACTACTAAGATGTTCCCCAGAATATGCTGAATTTTAAAAAACATTAAGCGATTGTTTAAAGCCCCTTCACTTCCTGGCCACTTTCTGCTGAAAGGTCTAAAAAACACATGTGCCAAAATAAGTAAATAAATCAAACGGGAAAGAAGCAAAGATGATTCCATAGAACCATAAGAGAGGAAATCTGGGTGCAGTAAATAAATAGATGTTCTTTCCAGAACTTTCCTGCCTTTACAGTTTGGGTACATAAAGGGATGTTCAGCAACGAAGTTACTCCCTTTTCAGATGGAACAAAACCTGCCCATTTAATTTTAACTCAGTATTTTAAAAAAAAGTGTGGTTTAGTTTTTATTTTCAGTTCCCAAAAAGTTGGGCAAAAAGTTCTTAAAAATGGAATCTGTATCTTAGAAGCATCCAAATTTTATGAATCCAAATTAACTTTAGAATGTTTCCATTACTTTCACTTTTACATACATAAATTTTCAATGTCCTGATCGGCTGAACAATATCTCACATCAAATGCTTTGCCTGGAAATAGATCTTCCATCAGGGATAATGGTGTGTAAACTATGAGTTGGACAATTCTGTATACTCAAGCACCATTAAAAGCATGCAGTTGAAAAGAAAGATCAAAGATGATTACTGTGCACAAACTAAATATTTAAACCACATACTCATTCTTATCAGCTAAATTCATTTTCACCAGGAGCAGACCACCAAATAAATTATTTTATTCTAATCACTAGTTTTGAAGCAGTATAATTACTCTGGAAGAAGACTCTAAAAAGTCATGATTCCCCACTATTTTGAAATGTATCCTCTAACAAGGATCATTTTAGTGTAATCTTAATTCTTATATTTTATCAAGATGAAATATTTTTTGAATTGTGACATTATAAAAGGGGACTCAAAATCCAAGCAGTCTGTGTTTAAATTAACACTACAACCTTCCTTATCAGATTCTAAGAGTAGAAAAACTAACACTTGGTATGTGAATCTTCAGGAAAATGAGCTGTTTCCTAAGCTCAAATAAGCAGCTTCCTTTTCCAGAGAATATAGAATTATACTGTGGTCTCCTTAAATGTTCAGTAGCTCTTACGGTCACAGCATTTTTAATCTCCCTGTGGCATCTTTATGGAATAATTTTCTTAAGGGATAATTCTCTACTAAAAATATCAGACCCCAACCATATTTAATGTGGAGAGCAATACCCTCTTAGAAAATACATTGACTCATACACTTGTTAAAAGTTAATAAAGAAATAGCTCATTTTTAAAGCCAGAAGTTTATGGTCTCTGCATCATCAATTTAATTTAAGCATTGCTGAGACAATCTTTAATCTACTCCCCATTTTGTAATACCTTATTTATGGTGCATTTTCATCTTTATTTGGGGGAAACGTTAGCCCAGCAGAGCCGGCAAATGAAAGTGTTGAAAAGAGGTCAAATGGAAACAAAGGCTCTTGCCCGCTGCATTTCAGACAGGACTGAGGCACTTAGCTGAGGAGCCACTGGGTTATTAGATTAATTTCAAAAGAGCTTTACAAGTTGCTTAATTCCATTTTTTTTTTTCAAAAACCCATGAACCACAAACTCAAATTTCTCCTCAAATGGGGTTAATTTGACAAATGAGGCATGGATCCAGCCTTGTGGAAAAAGCATTCCACTCTAATGAGGTCTTGGTCTTTCTTGTGAGGCGATGCTATTTATGTAAATATGTCTGGAGCCACCTTCTCTAAGCTTTTAGTTTTCTATGATCTGTTAGTTTAGTGTTTATTAAAGAATCAAATGTATAGAATTACTAGGCATTCGGGGAGAATACTGTGTAGCAAATGTAAAACTGATCCGCTCAGAAGAAACGTAGGAATGCTTCAAACCCACTGTACTGTTTTGTTTGAGATTATTTTTCATTGCTTTCAGAGTGAACTGCATAGGAATCGGCCTTATAATAAATGCTATGTGCGTCTTCAGTAGTACCAAGCTAAGGCAATTTGGCATTCTCCCACTGTGATTTGTGATTTTCAAACCCAGAAAATAAAAGCTTTTTGGTATTGATTGTTTTTAATTAAAACCACTTGCAAGTATAAACTGAAATTGATGCCACCCTTGAAGACTGACTGGCGGGCGTGCTCAGTTCTTGTTTTCCTCAGTATCATTCATGTCTTCGGCAACAAAAACACCTGATGAAAGCAAGCCCTGCTCAGCTTCCGTTGACATTTCTAGGTAGGAAGATCTTCATAACCTCGAAGTTTACCTAAGAAAGTTTTCTGTGTTAGAAGAATGGGGTTGAGAGTATTCACTTTGAGCTCAGTGTGGCCGGGCCTTTTGTGGCAGTCAAATGGCAAATACGCACTCCTTGAAATGGCTTCTTTTATTTTGTTTTGTTTTCTTAGACTTATAAATTTGAAAAGAATGCAATTTAAAAAGTGATTTCTCACAAAGAGTAAATATGCCTTTTGCAAATCAATTTTTGTAACAAGTTATTTATATGATATTACTTAATAAACTGCCTTTTTTCTAACTTGTTTTTTTTTCAATTCTCTCAAACTATTGTTTGTAATCACAGATTTTTTTTAATATCCATGCTAACACACTTGATCTTTCTGAACCTGTTGTTTTAACCTCTCAGAGAGCTAACAAAAGCTGACTTATTGTACAACAATTAGCTTGTAAACAATAGTTTTCCCAGCCAGCAATATATATCATTGGCACTGCCCTGCAGACTTCTTACTGCTGGGACATCGAGAATTCTACTATTGTTTATGGAATTGCTTTATTGAGAAGAAAGCTGTTTATCCTCATGGCAATTGCTTTAGATTTAAAAAAAAAAAAAAAAAAAAAGGACAGTTCTATATTCTTGCCCCTCCCAAATCATCATCCATTATTTGTCTCTGGGTTGATTAAACAAAAAAGATAAAGCAAGAGTCAGATCCAAGGAACATAAAAATAAAACCCTTCCAGCATCCGGATGCTATGAGTAAATAAAATGTTTTTAGCATATTTAGAGCTGTAATATTTAACGTGCCTGTTCTTTTTTAAGCTGCCTCCTATTTCTACAGAGGACATTTCATACTTTTTTTAACTGTGAGAATTCATAGCTTTGCAAAGAAGATTCTCATTTATTCATTCATTCGTTCCATATGTATTAGGCGCTCCACTGTGTGCTGCCAAATATTTGACAGTAAGTCAGATTGGTGTACTTTCCTTCCTCTCCAGAAGCTCATGGTCTGGGGGGAGAAATGCAAGAAGCTCATCATTACAGTACACACTAGAAGATGCTGTGGTGACGTCTCGTGAGAGGTACTGATGAAAGTATCCTTAGGAAGGAGAAACTGTTTCTGCCCAGGTAGAGGGGTGTGGGGGAGGTTTAAGAATTGGTAGGATTGATATAAAGTGAGATCAGAAATCAAAGAGAATAGCAGGGGAAACAGAAAAGAGATACTTAAGCCATGTCACTGGTCTCAGCTGAGGTTCCTGAAAAGGACTAGTCTTGGAAAAGTCATACGACATCAGAACACAAGGATCACAAATGCCAGAGAAGATGACATTGTTGTTTTGCTTTTGCTTTTGGTTTTTTGGTTTTTGTTTGTTTGTTTTGCCATTTAGTTTCAAGTTAACTTGGTCAGAAACAGAAACCCACAGAAGGGAATGATGCAATTAGAAATACCATTTTTGAACATGTACGTTGTCCAGTAGTATGCACAGTGCTCTACAGCCGAGTCCCTCCCCACTCCACCTCACCCTGTCCCCAACTCTGCAGCACCCCCAGGGGTATATGGTATACCTGAGGCAACGACAGAGCAAATGAAATCTGCAGGATTCTAGAAAACTTCCCTGACCTAATGGTAAGGTAGGCAGGAAGAGCAATGTGAGGCCTCAGACCTGCAAACATTTAGACAGAGTAAGCTTTTCCCACCGCCCTAAAAAACCACTTCCCATAATAATTATATATTAGGGCAATTAACCTGGCAGCGGCAACGGACAAGATCCAACATCTCCATAAAGTGTATTCCTCACTCTAGCGAAGTTCAGGGTGGCTGTAGATCTTTCTCCCCCTATAGCAATGCCATCTGGAGCACACTGCCTGCAAGGTGACCCTGACAAGGAGCATTCAGCCACCTGGCCCCTAACTAATTAGAAAGAGGCAGGGAAATGTAGACAAGCACACGTGTATCCACTGAGGGCTAAGAGCCTCGGTCACATACAGCCTCAGTCCCTGACAGTCTTGCAAGATCTTTCCCAAATTCCCCTCAATTTCAGTCACCATAATAAACTACATCCCATAATAATCATGAGGGTATTATTATCAGAGAAGGTAGGAAGTTGTTCACAAATGCAATCTTCAAATTAAAAACCTTTTTAAGAGGTGTTTATCCACCATCCCTCACTCCAATGCCCATGCCAGACATTGCCAATCAATGGACATTTTTTCATCGATCGTCTAGATAAAAGCTTAGAATCCCTAAAAGGAAAGCCCCAAGCAGCCACCAACAGCAGCGTAGTGTGACCTATGTGCCATCCAAACCTAAGAGACAAAGTTTTCCAGTTTAACTTCTTTCTTTTGTTGACTACTCACCACCAACATTTGCGAAGAGCATTCCGGTCTTGTGATTGCCAAAAGTTTGGAATAATTGAAGAAGCTAAAAAGCTGTGGCATACATCTTGATAATAAATCTGAACCAGTAAGTAGGTATCTCTTTGCACAATTCAGACATTATTTTCAGCTTGGTTGAGACATCTCCCTTCAGCGATCCTCCTGAACTTTTACATTCATTCTACCAAAAATCATTTGAGAACCTACTCTGAGCTAGGCACAGATCAAGGTGATAGGGATACAGGGTTACACAGGACACACACCCTGTTTCGTGCACTCTTCTAGCAAAGGCTGCCATGGTTTAATATCTTGTCATTAATCTTAATTTGCCTGACTCAATATTTTGTACTGAATTACAAAATGGTGATGGTAATTACCATTACCATCGGTAGGCTTCATTTTCCTGAATTCAATACTTTTCCAAATATGCTATGAATAGATACAGCTCTTTAAAAGAGGTAGATTGTCTCCTACTTCTCTCTATAATATAATTATTCCTTTTTAAAAAATGTCTTCTTTGACATATTAGATCATCTTTATTGCCTCCTGAGCCATTTGGTCCCCAAACCTTAACTTTTAACGGCGAATATATCTTGTTTGCACATTTGTTTTTTTAAAAAGCCTCCTTATAGTCAGTAAAGGATAGGTTTTATTAAAGCTTTTCACTTTGCTTAGCAGCCTGATAATAATGCCTTACTTTTATACAGCACTTTAGAATAACCATCATCTATATTACTTAATATAACTCTCACGAAAGCTCTGTACAATAGGTTCCAACATTCACAAAGAAAGTGGGGTCATTTGCCTTTAGGTCTCCATCACAGGAATTTGAATTAAACTCACTTCTTTTAACTCAGACTCTGCGATCTGCCATCAAGTCCCACATTTTTCCCTTTGAATGCATAGTCCAATCCTACCCATTTGTGTGAATATTTATTGTGAGAAAAAAAGATACTTTTTTTCCTTTATACAGATTCAGAGGATGTCGGTCACTGCCGATGGCTGCAGCCCAAAAGATATTCCTCTCCGTAAGATCAGTCCAAAGCCTCTGTGAAGAAAAAAAAAGAGGCTGAAGAGCAAAATTCTGCTATTAACCCCCAATTACCTAGCTGATTCCTATTAGAAAATTAGAGCAGTATTCCTAAGGAAAAATATCTCCAAGACACATAAAATTCCACCCAAGACTACAAAAGCTCTAATTGCTTTCGTAAGAATAAGCAGTGGACTCAGTGGCTCTCGCCTATAATCCCAGCACTTTGGGAGGCGGGTAGATCACCGGAGGTCAGGAGATGGAGACTATCCTGGCTAACATGGTGAAACCCTGTCTCTACTGAAAATATGAAAAAATTAGCCAGGCGTAGTGGCATGCGCCTGTAGTCCTAGCCTCTCAGGAGGCTGAGGCAGGAGAATCACTTGAACCCAGGAGTCAGAGGTTGCAGTGAGCTGAGATCGTGCCACTGCACTCCAACCTGGGTGACAGAGGGAGATTCTGTCTCAAAAAAAAAAAAGGAATAAGCTTGATACTATTGAAACCGCAAATATCAGATTGTAGGGTGGGAACGCTCTGTGAAAGGAGAGGAATTGGGACTCCCTGTCTCTCCTTAGGCGATTTAGACTGTATGATTGAAGGAGTTGTTGTAGGGGAGGAAGAGAGACTTGCTGGGTCCCTGAGCAGTCATGGAATCCACTTCTTTACCCCAATGATCCCCAGAAAACCCACTGCTCAGTTAGGTGGGTATCCATGTAGCAGAAAAGCAGCTACAAATCTTTGTTTCCAAACTAGAAGAAACATATTTGCCTAATTTTTCTGTAACTGAACTTAATTTCTGTGTTAAACCTTGATTCTTCTGAGGACCAGAAATTCAACTTCAGTCGTTTATGGTTTCTTTCCACAATCATCACTGATATTACAGCTAAGTTCTAAGGGACTAAGGTGACGTCAAGGGTTGAAACTTGGAGGAAGATGAGACATAGTCAAAGCTTAAAGCTAATCTGCTATGAGAGCTAGAAGGAGGAGATGGATTCCAGAAAAAACATGGTAATTCTTTATCCTAACCCTCCCTGTCTGTCCTTTCACCCACCACAAAGTGAGAAGACAGAAGGTTATTGATCAGAATTATTTTGTTATTGTCATTTTTTTTCTTATTCTCAGAAGTCAGGATCAGAAGCTTAAGAAAGACACCTGATTCTTTCCTGACTTATGGCTTTGGCAGAGATTCAGAAAGAGCTGAAATTTATCTCAGAATGCCACTATTTCCAATTTAGTGCTAATTTATGACTATGTTTTCTTATGTTTTACTACCTCAAGCATTATTAAATGTATTTATAATACTAAAATATATTAAATAGTATATTAAGGATTGAGCTCATTTTCAACAATTTTTGAACATCTCTTATGTGGTAAGTACTTTACCAACTGCTTTATGTGAAAAATATATGCTGTCTTTATCATAAATTAAGAAGAAAATGACAAACTATTTTTTAATTTATGAATACATTTATATAAAATGTGACAAAGTTACAAAAGTTAAATCACAAATAAATATTTAGCAAGTAATTTGTACTGAAAACAATAAATGTGTTAAATCCAGATATTCAGCTCCCTCTTGGTCTGATATGGTTTGACTGTGTCCACACCCAAATCTCATTTTGAATTGTAGTTCCTATATTCCCCACATGTGGTGGGAGGGAGCTGGTGGGAGGTAATTGAATTGTAGAGGCAGTTACCTCCATGCTGTTCTCGTGATAGTGAGTTCAGATCGGATGGTTTTATAAGGGGCTTTTCCCCACACCTTCACTCTTCACTTCTTGCTGCCACCATGTGAAGAAGGATATGTTTGCTTCCCCTTCCACGATGATTATAAGTTTTCTGTGGCCTCCCCAGCCATGCTGAACTGTGAGTCGATTAAACCTCTTTCCTTTATAAA